TCATCTACATGAATCTATGTTGAATAGTGCATCGGTTACAAGAACTAAGTTCATTGATATTATGAAATTAAACCTTGATATTAAAGAAAATTTCTTTGATGGGAGCTTCCACGGAATATTTATAATATAAATGAATATTAACATGAATAATATGAATATGGTTCATATGACCTTACTAGAAAATTATCCTTTTAAGAACGAAATTCATTGATACAATGTACGGTTCATTTAAAACAAGCAAGTATTCCTAGAAACAAAGCTGCAACCATTACATCAAGATAAATTATAAATACAATGAAACAGTTCATAGCATTAATGTAGACAGTTCCTAAGCACATGCGCAAAGGTAGCTGCAGTCGGGCAACGACATAGAAAAATATGTTGAAATAGGAATAATTACATTTCTATTTTCTGGGTGCACTGCTACGTACTTCGTTCAAGTTGGTTTTTTCGGTTTTGTGTTGTTCGAAGTCTTAAATAGAAAGTCGATTATACCTGTCGCCGGTTTTTTCTAAAGGTAAGTTGTATACCTCTATTACCTCTATAATATGTATACCTATTATGTAGGTAGGACTTGGATGCCTTGCACGGAGACGGTCTAGTCTCAAAATGGGAATGCGAAAGAAATGACCTACAGATTTAAATGTCATCCGGGGAGAACGTGAAAGACAAAAGCGTCAAGAGCTCCTCAGAATTTCTAAGGAATACTGAAGTCTCTAAAAGTAAGTATACTCAATCCCAAATCAAGTTGTAATTTTTTTAATCGATATATTTTTGTTAAATGGTTTTGTTTCACTAGGTAGAAAAGCAGAAGATTCAATACCGCAGCTAGTGTTTCATAGCCGAGGCAAGGAAACCAGCCAAAGCATCAAATCTTATTTTCTGATGTGGCTTGTTTTAGAAACTTTGGATGTTGATAGTTCAAAAACAGCTGGAACAAATATAGATATAATATATATTTATGGAAACAGGATTTAAGGAGGATTTGAAAGATAATAGAATATACGGTTAGTGTCATTTAAAATAAAAATACATAAGTAGGTACTTAGATTTTTAAATTTTCAGATTTTGGGATGCCCATTGGTTTGTTTGACAATTCTGGAAGATGATACGAAGAAACCATGCAACTTTTGCATTAAAAGCTTTTTTCCTATTGCTCATATTCATCAGTACAGGGGACACGCAAATATAAAAAATGACCCTTTACCCCATTTAAAATCCTAAGTATATTTAAGGCATAATTCATGAAATTATTTTAATAAAAATAAAGAATATGGTATATATTATTGAAAACGTCATTATTAAATATAATGAATGCAATTCTTAGTATTCAAGACTGTGATTCATAAATACAATGAAAGGGTTTCATCAAATTATATCTGGGCTTCATTAATATTATGCCGTCTGTTCATCAGGACAATGAAAAAGTACATATAAACTAAGAACGATGTTTATTGTTACTATGAAAAGTTTCATTAATACAAAAACCTTACTACATACCTTAATGTTCGTTGTTCATACACAAGATGAATCGAAATAGGAATTAAGAAATTGTTCATACTTCAATAACCTAGAGTTCATGTAATCAAAGAAACCGTTCTTTGGACCGATTTTAATGAATTGTTCATTAAATCTAAGAACAACTTCTTTTTATTTATGCTACTATTTGGTTGAGTGTAATTAAAATAAGAGTAGTAGAATTTTTTGAAAAACATAAGGTACTCACTGAGGTTCAATTCGGTTTTCAGAATGAGAAAGGCATCATGGATGCCATATTCAATCTTTTGGAGGAGGTATATACTGGACTTAATGGTGGCGTGTCTATCGCAGTAGTATTTTGTGACTTTTCCAAGGCGTTAGACTGTGTGGATGTTGTGGATCATGGAATACTACTGCGTAAGCTTCAACACTAGGGATTTAGGGGTACCGGACAAAGGTGTTACTACTCAGAGAAAACACATAGTTAAAGCAGTTAAAGTGGGGGAAAGCCAATCAAACACCAAAATTATCGAGCTAAAGGACATCATCAATAAAGATATGGACTTGTTGAAGAAATGGTGCCACATAAATAAACTGTTAAATATAAAAGAAAAACAACTATTATCATTCAAGATTAATTTTGACACCCTAACATTAGAAACAAATATTGAAAACAGAGCTTCCACTAAATTCCTAGGCATATGTTGACAATCACCTAAAATTTAAAGAACAAATAAGTACTATAACTAAAGAAGAAATTAGTAGTGGTGCATATGCCTTGAGAGTGGCTAGAGAACTTAACCTTTCTTCAACAATGACAGTCTACTATTCTTTGATAGAGTTCCATTACTTTCATTTGAGATACGGAGTTGCATTTTATGGATCCTGCACAAATGATCCCTAATGGCTAGTGCGTTAAAACTTCAAAAACGCGCATTACGGAACGGTGTATATTATGTAAAGTGGGACCTAGAGAGCATTGTAAGCCATTATTGAAAACACACAAAATCCTTACAGTATTTTGTCTATATATATTGGAAACATCATCACTAATGTATAAAAAAATATTACAATGGACTGAAACAACAAAAACATACATACAACATCAGATAAATAAACAATATTCCTCTACCTATTCCAAAGACATCTATAGCTCAAAACTCTCTCATTTATAATGGCAAAAAAATATTCAACCATTTGCCTGAAGAAATGAAAATACTGGACAACTGTAAGAACTTTCACAATGCAGTGAGAGCACTCTTGGTAGTTCAACCCTACTACAGCCTGCTGGAATACTTTGAAGATAGACTAAATTAATTATTTGTGATAATATATGATAATGTGTTCCTGATTCCTATTTTTTTTTTTAATATTGTTTTTTATTTTTTGTAATATGTGATTGAACATGTATAAAAACTTGACAGTAGTTTATTTTAAATTTTTTTAAAATATTTATATGTTTTTTGGTCCTTAGTGTTTTGTTCTATTCTATTGTATTTTGGCTTACTAGGTAGTGTAATACAACAAATTTGTAATATTGTACATTTTAGTATTAGCTTTGTCAATAAGTTTAAGTACCGTAACATGGGGATACTTTAAATCACGGGTATACTTTGATCGGAACTTCGTTATAATTTTGAATCCCAATAGCGCCGCCATCTTTCCTGCCGTGCGCATGACGTTGCTTCTATCAGTTGTTTCATTACTCCCGCCAGTCAAGTCACTTCGAAGGTCAAAACAACGCGCATCTCTTCCAGAAAAATTAGTTTGTGTACCCACGTGCTTTGTTTAAATTATTTTAGCTCAAAAACTTCATATCCACAGCGGTAAGTAATTAAATTTTAATTATAGCTATACTTGTATTGCCTCAGACATATATTTAGCAATATTATTAGCAAGTATCTGCCGTGAATTAGTACAAATATATTTTTTCTGAATGATTTTATTGAAAGGGGTAACTTTGATCAGCACCTGGGGCAACATTGATCGATTGATCAATGTTACCCTATTGATCAATGTTGTCCCATCACATAGCAAATATATAACCCAAATTAAATTAATAAATTGTTCTTATTTTATAAATGCCTCGTGCGCACAAGCGATTACTCGGCAGTCGACCATACATGAACTATAGCTCAGAAAAATTAGAACAAGCACTGGAAGCAGTTTTTGAAGGTGTATTGTCAATTCGCGAGGCCTCAAGACGGTTTAAAATTTTATTTGGTACAGTCTACAACAAATACAAGGGAAAGTATGGAAGAAAACCAGGCCGCCCAACTATTTTTACTGAAAAAGAAGAACTGGCCATCCTTCAGTCAGCAGCCAAGTGTTAGGATTGGGGGTTTCCATTGAATCTTATGGATATACGGATGATAGCAAAGTTTTATTTAGACAGAAAAGGTAGAACGGTAAATATATTAAGAATAATATTCCTGGAGTTGACTGGACATACAGCCTTCTTGAAAGACACAAAAACTCATATGGACAAAGACTGGCGACTAATATAAAGCGAGCGAGAGCAGAAGTATCAAGAGAAACTCTAGGAGCGTTTTATGACAACTTGAAAAATACAATAAGAAACCTAGCACCTTCATTTGACCAAAAACTGCTGTTTGTGCCTTATTAGTGTATATTTATTTAGTTCCAAATATATTTTTGAATAAAAATGATGTTTTTATGTGATCAATGTTACCCTATATATAATTTCGCTTGTAGCAACTGAAATATCAACTCTAAAATTTTTTTAAAAACTTTCAGGTTCATTTGAATGGGGTTACTTTCATATTTCATGCAAAACAAATGGGTGATCAAAGTATCCCCAATACGAGTACCTATATCTTTGATCACACCATTTTTATTTTTTTTCTCAAAAAATACTGGATTATAAAATTGCATATTTTCTATTTGTAGGCAAAAACCGATTTATCATGTTTTTTGTTTCATCTGTATTGGCAAAGACGAACGAGATATTCGTTTTTGAAAAAAAATATCGATCAAAGTATCCCCATGTTACGGTACTTCGGACAATAAAGCACAGCTTTATCTATTCTATATTGATACTCTTTTTCCTAAATCTGAAAAAAAAGATTGACCTAGAAATGTCTGGATTCACCAACAAGCTGTGACCTTTCAGTATCTATATAGTTAACATTTGAGTAGACGTGAACATTCATTCTCTTCTCATTTTTGCCTGATATCCTATCACTTTTTTTCGACTAAAATCTAAAGCCTCGAAGGTATATTTGGTGTTCAGATTTTTCATGCCACGAAAAGCCTATTCCAATCTCGTAAAAAAAATGAGAACATTACTATTCTTATGCAATGTTCTGGTTTATCCTGGTTTAGGGTTTCAACGAGATTGAAACAGATAAAAAAATAAACCCAATTACAACTTACCTTATTTTATTAAATTTTAAGCACAAAAATTTACATTATTCTAACCGCAGACACAAGAGCATATAAAAACTTGCACTGACACCGGCACTCTATAGACAGTCGGTTTATATAGAATTGGTACCTACCCCAGTTTTGAATGCAAATTGCTTAAGTGGTTCCGAATTTTATTGAATAATTGGTAAAAAAAATCTCTATATTCTTATAGGCTCTTCTGGCATATTATTTACAATACAGACATAATGTTTACGACCGGCATATTTATTTAATTTGATTAAGAAAGGTGGGATTTTCCTATGGATAAACTTAACTGGTTCGTGTAAGCGATATTTTTTATTTTTACGACCTGTGTGAAAAATTTACATTATCGTAAAACGAATGTTACTTTGTGAGTTAAAATACTCATTAACCTTGAGCATTTGCGAATTAACGGGAAAATCCGATAACTTAACCCCAAGAAAACAAAAACAGAACATTTTGGTTTAATTATTTGTTTAAAAAACCCAGAGTTCGACGAAGCAATATCAGTGCAAATTTATGCAAGACTACAGGGTGCTCAAAACACAAATGTAGCGTATATTTTTTGATTTCGATGTAGTGAACCATCCAAGGACCTTTTTTTTCAGTTATACATGTAAACCCCATACTTTGTGAGTGGCTTGCTTACATCAAGTCCTACAACTTTTCCTCTACGACTTTTCTCGGAAATGGCACGTATGCGCGCAGGCGACTCGCAAACATGTCGATCTGACGTAGCTATGTTTCCTGATACATGTAGGTAAATCTAATTTTACGAATACTGTTTGATTTTTATGTCTAAATCACGGAAATCAACTTGGCCGACAAAAATAATGGCAAATTGGGGGAGTCCGATACCCCCAAAATGTCGATCTGACGTGGTTATGTTTCTTGATACATGAAAATCTAATTTCACGAATAATGTTTGATTTTTATTTCTAAATCACGGAAATCAACTTGGCCGACAAAAATAATGGCAAATTGGGGGAGTCCGATACCCCTAAAATGTTTGCGAGTCGCCTGCGCGCATACGTGCCATTTCCGAGAAAAGTCGTAGAGGAAAAGTTGTAGGACTTGATGTAAGCAAGCCACTCACAAAGTATGGGGTTTACATGTATAACTGAAAAAAAAGGTCCTTGGATGGTTGACTAATGCCTTCAAATTCCAGCCTGTCTTTTATCGCACTTTGAATAGTGACTAAAATTATCAAAAATTGACGGTCAAATATTCTAATAATAGTTGAAAGAGATGTACTAGGATTCTTCCATTCGCAGATCAAAATACTTCATATTGAATTAGATAATTGACGTTCCAAAATCGGAAAAATCCTTTCTAAAAGCTTATTTATATCAATCAACGATATTACCAAGATTACACCGAGGGATGTAGCAAAGTTTAGAAGAGCTGGGATTACTGATAGAGTATTGGAGATTCTTTTTAACCTTCCTACGTATGCGTAGAGCTTCTAATGAAAATATTTGAAAAAAAAAACTCTATTGTGAAATATAAGGAAATTGCTTGAGTAACTAATATCGGAATTGCCGTTCTATTTTCATCATTTAAGTTTTCTAAACTCATCATAATTTAGGGCTTCTGTGGCTGCGGGTTCCTTGAAGGCTAATAAATAAGCCAAAGATAATCCTCCATATTACTCCACTATCTACGTTGTGATTGACTTTGCAATGCAAACTTCTCCAGTGCAGTGGACAATATCACATACATAAAATCTGTTTTTTTTTAAAGATAATTCCCCAAGTCAAAAATTTAGTAACTATGTTGGCAACACAAGCCTTTTCTACATTAAAAATTTTAAAGCATTGACAATTTTACATTGTATTGCCAACATAATGTCAGTTTGACTTTTATCTTAAAAAAAAAAACAGACTTTACCTATGTAAAATCCGACAAAAGTATTCGTCCGATTTCTGACGAGTGCAGTTCGGATGACCAGCCCAATGCTGATGGAATTGGTTTCCTCAAGGATACTGTTGTTTGTTCGTCGGTCTTTCCAATTTAATTTGAGTATTCTTCCGAAACAGCGCTGCTCTTATCTAAAAGCTGGTTGTCGGTGTTGAATTTTCACGTCGATATTTGCATTTGTGCATAGATGACTAGAGGTATGGAAAGTATTGCAGGTGCTCCATCGACATGGGCGTCGTTTGGGGGAGCAAGGGGGGGCATTTGCCCCCCCCCCCCCCCCCCCTAAAAATAGTCTTTTGAACAAGAAAGCAGTAAAAGAGAGTTCGTATTCGTAAAGCTTTTTTCCATTTTTTCAAAATTTGTTAGGTACTTTGAAAAATTGGCTGACATTTTCATTACATTCAACGGAATTGAATTTCACTTAACTTAGGGCCGGTATTATAAAACGCTGAATCGATTGTAAGAGTTTCAACCTTCGGTTGAATCCTATCAATTTGCATGGAGTCAACCGAAGGTCAAAACTCATCATCGATTCAGTGTTTTATAATACCGGCCATGGCGGCCATTATTGGAAAATTTTGTCCTAAACAAATGAAGCCCGGGACACATCTATCATGAATTCTTCCTATCCGACTCCAATCATACAATCAGGGTCCTTATTCTTGGAACAAGGAGCAGCGTTCCCAGGAGAACTAGTGTTCCGCTGCTCCCGTGTTCCAAAATAAAGGACCTTGATTGTATGATCGGAGTCGGATCGGAAGAATGATGCATGATAGATGTGTCCCGGCCTTGATGTAGGCATGGGCGGTTATTGGAAAATAACCGGTTATCGGTTGACCGGTTTATTTTTGTAAGAAAAATAAGCTTATACGATTGAGCTTTAGTAAATAACCGGTTATCACAATAACCGGTTATAATTTTCTCTCTCTCCACTACTACTACTATATCTTTCTATCTTACACAATTAAACAGAGAAAGAGAAAAATGAGCAAACTCGCAAACCAATTATGTCCATCGAGGAGGGCGATTTTCATTTCTTTTCTCTTTCTATTTTGCAAAAATAACCATGGAAAATTCAAGTTTCCACATCGTTGGATTTTTTTTTTTTTCGTCTCTTATGATAAATATGAAGGTCGGGTAAAAAATGCATTCCATTGGGAATTTTTTGGGAGTTCTTGCGTTTGAATTGTTTAAAACCATGCTATAAGTGGGAACAGACAAGTCAATAGAGTAAAAAAAGAAAACTATCAACCGAACAACCGAATGTCGGTTATTGATAAGTGAATTCGGTTATTAGGTTAAACCTGATGGAAATAATAACCGAAAATAACCGGTTTTTAAACTTTAGGTTAACCGGTTATTGGAATAACCGATTAATTTATCCCATGCCTACCTTGATGCGGACAGTGAATTTGTTGCGGAAAAAAATACCATAATTTTTAACTAAATATCTATATCAAATAAGTACGTTAAAATGCTTAAAAAGGGGCGTGGCACCAAAAAAAATTAGCCTACGGCGGTTTCCTGCGGCGCTAATGGAAATGGTCTTATTATAATACTGCCCTTATAGATATACTGCCCCCCCCCCCTGAGAAACCTCGTAACGACGCCCATGTCCATCGATAATTACAGCTGGATCTGGTGCCTTCATATTTAGACACAGACAAAAATCCTTTACCAGCCTGGCGGTAAAGGAATTTTGTCTTATCCGTGTTTAGTTCTAGACCGATACTTTCGTATGCATTTAAAGTAGTTTGTAGGCCAAGACAGCGTGATCATCAGCATGAAATGTGCCAAAGCTTAATGGTGAACAATCCTAAAACAGAGGTGAATACCCTTCCTTAATGGTAAAGTTGCATCATTGGAATCTAGAATTAATACAGCAAGGCAAACGGATAAAAAAGAACAAGTGGCCCATCTTGAGGAAAAAATAATTAAAGTAAATAAGAAAATACAGAATGCTCATGATACTTGTTATAGGGATACTGCAACTAATGGGAAAGATGAAACTACTGATGTCATTAACAATACTTGCATGAACAATCGGAACAACTAACGAACAAACTGGATTCTGTTGTAAGTGCCATTAGGAGTGCGAATAAGGATCTTGTAAGCTTTTTAACCCCATCAGATCACTTTCAAGCGCAGAGTAAAGCACAACCTAGAAAAGATGTACTAGTTTTGAAAAATGATACTGAGGAAAACAAGGCTTTAAATAGTATGCAGCCTACACTAGAATTAAAAGCTTCAAGTGGATCAAACTCTGCGTCTGGAGAATTTGTTCTGGGCCTGACCGTCCTAGTCTAAAAGTGGCAAATAAAAACATAGGTGAAAGAATGGTAAAGCTCACTTGGGTTTATCTCTCCAATCTAGATTTTGAAACAAAGCCAGATGATATTCTGGCTGTACTCGATCCTAAGTTTGCTCATATCTACCAGTGTCATAAACTACCCTCAAGATTTGAAAACCCGAATAGTGCAGCCTTTAAACTGGGTATTCCTGAAGAACTGGAAGAAAAGTACCTCTCCACGAACTTTTGTGTTGTTGGCCGATATAAAAATGTAGGTCGGGACAATCATGGAAGACCCAAAGGTTTTTATCGAGGTTTTTATCGGTCCCATAAAAAAATTTCACAATCAATACGTCGTCGGAACTGGCAGTAGAGATGCCAAATCACAGTCAGCCCTCGTGTGAACTACCTAGCACAGACATTGATGTAATAAGCTCTCTGAAAATTGCTCATATAAACCGGTCGATTTGCAATAAAATTTCTGATATCAAAAAATTATATTCTCCAATCTGATTTTGACATGATTGCAATTTCGGAGACATGGCTAAATTCCGACATACCCTCTCATTTATATTATATGCTATAGAAAATTTTACATTATACGGAAACGATATGTTGCAATCTATGTTTCCAGTACCTAGGTTGCATATAGTGTCAGTCATAACTCCAGATATGGATAATGGAATAGATGTGCTCTGGCTGGGTTACCTGTAAGCACAACAAACTGTGTTGTTTATCGCCCATCTTCTGTTCCATATGCAGGGCTGCAGTTCCTTTATGATATGCTACCTGATATAATTTTTAAATGTGATATCTATTGGGAAATGGACTAAGAAATTAAAGAACTTGTTAATTATCGATATTCAATATATTTTTTGTATCGAACACAGCGTGGAAAGCAGAGCGTGTGAACTCATAGAACTAACTATAGGAACTGACTCAACATCAAAAGACAAAGAATTACAAACCCTTTCAACAATTAACGATAAACAATTCCTCATCTGTTTATCTTACATATAGAAACTACTATAAACACATTCAGTCATCCAAAGCTGAAATATAAATTAGCAAAGTATAGGCTAATAATCAAAGTTTAATTTATTAATTTTTGGTTCACTGATATAAATATCAGTTTATCCAACAGGCCACCTCAAAAATTTGATCAATTTGACTAAAAGTAGGTAATACAACTTAAACCTAGTAGTTATATCATAAATAGACCTGCTTTCCTTATGTGTGTCTTTTCTGGGGAAAAATTACAATAACGGTCCAGCATTTGCTGCTCGGGATGAGGAAAACCCAGGAAAACCTAATCAAACCATTTAATTATTTTGACTTATTTACTAAACCTAACTCCATTGTGATGTCTTCAAATTTACTAGCATGTCTAAACATGTCTGCTAGTTGTTTCTCTGTGGACAATTAATATGTATTTTATATTAATTACACCTTCCTCTATCTGTTCATTGAAAAATGATAATTTGTATCAATCCAGGTATTCTTTCAATCTGGACAAACTGATCGAAGTCACTTGAGGTTTGATAAAGTTTGTAAGGCTTCGCGGCCAGATTATTGATAAGGGGTTTTCATTCGGGCTTAATGGCCGTCGTAAGTTGGAATTTCTTCCTGACGTTTCGCTAGCACGCGTGGCTAGCATCTTCAGAGGTGCTTCCATGTCCGATTCTGGTAGCAGACTGACGCGTTTCTGACCGTAAGTTGTATTTATGTGTGAGTGGCTATGATAAGGGAGGGGCGGGGCTTCGCGGCACTTGGCTAATCTCAACTTTCTCTGTACTCAATGGGATCTTTCTTGCGTTTTTTGAGGATCGGGTACCAGATTTGATTAAGTTTTAGTGTTTCTTCTTTCCTTTTAAAGTTCTCCGTATGTTCGTGGATTTCTATAGCTTCACGTACAAGACGATTGTGGTATCCGGAAGTCGGTGCAAGAAGCTTGACCTCATCAAAGAGTATTTCGTGATTTTCTTCACTAAGCGCATATTCCGCAACTGCTGATTTTTCCGATTGTCCTAGTCCATAGTTTCTTTTGTGTCCGGTCATCCTGGTTCCCATGGATCTTTTTGTCGTTCCTATGTATACCTTACCACATGTGCATGGTATACGATAGACTCCAGCGCTTGACAGTGGGTTCCTCTTATTCTTGGCTGATCTGATTGATTGCTGTATTTTCCTTGTTGGCTTGAAGATTGTTTTTATGTTGTGTTTATTCAAGACTTTCCCTATCCTGTCTGTCACCCGAGAAATGAAAGGCAGATATGCATTAGCCACCACTGGTTGTTCATCCACGTTTTGTCGTGTGGCAATTTTGGGTCGCATGGCCCTGTCGATTTCAAATGCATTGTAATCATTCGATAGAAAGGCCGACTTGAGATGATCCAGTTCTTGCTCGAGATATTGTGGTTCGCAGATGTTCCGAGCAGGTTCTGTTAACGTTGTTATAATTCCACGTTTTTGCCTTGAATGGTGGTTTGAGAGTGCATGTAGGTACCTCTCTGTGTGCGTAGGTTTTCGGTAGACCGTGTGGCTTAGTTTTCCTCCAGATTTCTTTATGAGCAAACCTAAGAAGGCGATTTCCTGGTTTTTCTCCTTTTCCATGGTAAATTCTATGCTAGGACGTTGCTCGATCAGGTGGGCTAGGAACTGGTGTTGGTGCTCCCGGTGTACTCACTATAGGTCTTAGCGGGACTTCCGGTTTGTGAATTTTGGGTAGGCCGTAGAGTCGTGGTGGAACTGTTTCTGTTTTTATGATACCTTTCTTAACCGTGTCTGTTAGGGTAGATGGCCTAATCAGTTGTCTGGTATTACGGAGTGTGGCTTGTGTGGGATCCTTCTTTAGCTTTCGGTAGGTAGATGGATCCAGGAGTTCCTGAATTTTCCGGTTGTAGTCTTCAGTTCTTAACAGAACAGTTGCGTTGCCCTTATCCGCAGGTAGAATGATCACATCTTCCGCTGAATTCAGGTTCCTAATTGCCATCAGTTTCTTCTTAGAGAGGTTACTGGTTGGTGGTCGAGCCTTTCATAGAATGTTAGCTGTCTCAATACGGATTTCTTCCGCTTCCACATCATGTAGTGCTCTGATGGCTGCTTCGGTGCTGGCTATAATCTCCTCCGTTGGCAGGTGTTGTGGAGTGATTGCGAAATTACCGCCTTTTGCCAAGACGACTGTTTCCTTTTCGGCAAGGACTCGATCCGTGAGATTGATGACCAGTCTGGATTTGTCAGGTGCTGGGGAATTTTGGGTTTGTTTCTTACAGAACGTCTCGTATTTTCGAATCTAAGCTTTTTTACTCTGGTTTAGCTCATTATCCATACTTGAGCATGAGATGGTATCAATTTTGTCCCAATCCTTTGACTGTATTTTGTTGCTAGGCGTCAGATGTAGGTGAAGTAGTTCTCAGCACTGAAGCAGTCATCAGAGTACTAACTGATGTGGAAGCAGAAGAAATCCGTATTAAGACGGCCAACATTCTACGACAGGCTCGACCTCCAACCAGTAACTTCTCTAAAAAGGAACTAATGGCAATTAGGAACCTGAATTCAGCGGAAGATATGATCATTCTACCTGCGAATAAGGGCAACGCAACTGTCCTGTTAAGAACTGAAGACTACAGCCGGAAAATTCAGAAACTCCTTGATCCATCTACCTACCGGAAGCTAAAGAAGGATCCCACACAAGCCTCACTCCGGAATACCAACAAACTGATTAGGTCATCTACCCTAATAGACACGGTTAAGAAAGGCATCATAAAAACAGAAGCAGTGAATCTACGGCCTACCCAAAATTCACAAACCGGAAGACCCGCTAAGACCTATAGTGACTGCACCTGGAGCACCAACGTACAACCTAGCGAAACATCTTGCATCGCTTCTTCAACCGCATGTAGGAAAGACTAGCTCTTACATCAAGGACTCCACTCACTTTGTTCGGAAAATTAGGGATATTATTCTTCAACCTAACGATATCCTGGTCAGCTTTGATGTCGTGTCCCTATTCACAAAAGTGCCATTGACAGAATCTCTTGACTTGATATCAAGTACCTTCCCCAATGACATAGTTGAGCTTTTCCGCACATGTCTCACAGGGAGTTACTTCCTGTGGAAAAAAGCTCAACCATTTCCTAGGCCACCTGAACGAGCAACATCCTAGCATAGAATTTACCATGGAAAAGGAGAAAAACCAGGAAATCGCCTTCTTAGGTTTGCTCATAAAGAAATCTGGAGGAAAACTAAGCCACACGGTCTACCGAAAACCTACGCACACAGAGAGGTACCTGCATGCACTCTCAAACCACCATTCAAGGCAAAAACGTGGAATTATAACAACGTTAACAGAACGTGCTCGGAACATCTGCGAGCCACAATATCTCGAGCTGGATCATCTCAAGTCGGCCTTTCTATCGAATGGTTACAATGCATCTAAAATCGACAGGGCCATGCGACCCAAAATTGCCACACGACAAAACGTGGATGAACAACCAGTGGTGGCTAATGCATATCTGCCTTTCATTTCTCGGGTGACAGACAGAAAAGAGAAAGTCTTAAAGAAACACAACATAAAAACCATCTTCAAGCCAACAAGGAAAATACAGCAATCAATCAGATCAGCCAAGGATAAGAGGAACCCACTGTCAAGCGCTGGAGTCTATCGTATACCATGCACATGTGGTAAGGTATACATAGGAACGACAAAAAGATCCATGGGAACCAGGATGAACGGACACAAAAGAAACTGCGGACTTAGACAATCGGAATAATCGGCAGTTGCGGAATATGCGCTTAGTGAAAAAAATCACGAAATACTCTTTGGTGAGGTCAAGCTTCTTGCACCGACTTCCGGATACAACAATAGTCTTGTACGTGAAGCTATAGAAATCCACAAACATACGGAGAACTTTAACAGGAAAAAAGAAACACTAAAACTTAAGCAAATGTGGTCCCGATCCTCAAAAACGCAAGGAAGATCCCATTGAGTACAGAGAAAGTTTAGATTAGTCAAGTGCCGTGAAGCCCCGCCCCTCCCCCACTACAGCCCCTCACACATAAATACATCTTACGGTCGGGAACGCGTCAGTCTGCTACCAGAATCAGACATGGAAGCACCTCTGAAGAGGCTAGCCACGCGTGCTAGCGAAACATCAGGAAGAAACTCCAACTTACCACGGCCATTAAGCCCGAATGAAAACCACTTGAGGTTTTTTTCAAATAATTGTCATCTGGTTTTACCACGATTTCATTGGCCCTGACTGTTTTTTTGACGCCTCATAAAGAAACCTGATGTGATTACAGTCACTTTGTTTAGATCGAAAGAATACCTGTAAAATGATTTGATCTTTTGTGATTTGTTGGATTATTTGC